ATTTATTATCATTATTCTTTTTTTTTATATATACACCACCTTATATATTCATTTATTTTATATTCATTTATTTTCTTTTATACACCACCTTAGATATATACCTAGCGAGTATTTGATATTGTATACACCACCTTAGATATATAGTATATATATAGCGAGTGTTTGAAATCATATCATTGTTGGAATCATCATGTTTACACATTTCATATCAGAGATTGTCTGAGAAGAAATATTAGGAGTTATTACGATTATTTTCATTCCCATTTTCCCTAATCAGAGGAGATGCAAGTATCCATGAAAAAAACATTGGGAATTATATCAATGTTAGAATATTTTCATCATTTTCCCTAGTCAGAGGAGAATGCAAATATCTATGAAAAAAAATTATATATCAGTGTTAGAATATTTTCATCATCATTTCCCCCCAATCAAAGGAGAATACAAGTATCGAGAAACACAAAAAATTATATTAGTATTAGCATATTTTCATCTTTTTCCCTCAATCAAGTGAGAATACAAGAATATCCCCACAAAAAAAAAAAAAAAAAAAAAATCCACCTTCGTTGCAATCTTTTCCATTTTTTTCCCTTCTTTTTTCCCTTCAGAGGAGATGTGCCTTGGAGGGCCACTGCCCCCACGGGTACTCCTGCTGCCCCAATGGATGCCCAGGACAGAGCGTGTGTGTCTTGGCCTTGCCCTCGAACGCCACAGTGCCACAGGTCCACAGGGCAGTGCCACGTCACCAGGTTCTCGACTTTTAGTGCAGCTAATCTTTGGCATCAAATTGTATACTCACTGACACCCCTTTAGATATATAGATAAACATAGATAGATGAAATGATACATGGAAAATATAGATAAATAGTCAGAGACAGATATACATAGATAGATTGAATAAATGGGAAATATAGATAAATAGTCAGAGACAGATATACATAGAAAGATGAACTGATACATGGAAAATATAGATAAATAGTCAGAGACAGACATACATAGAAAGATGAACTGATAAATGGGAAAATATAGATAAATAGTCAGAGACAGATAAACATAGATAGATGAAATGATACATGGAAATATAGATAAATAGTCAGAGACAGATATTGAACTGATACATGGATAGATAAATAGTGATACATAGATAGATGAACTGATACATGGAAAATATGGATAAATAGTCAGAGACAGATATACATAGATAGATGAACTGATACATGGGAAAATATAAGATAAATAGTCAGAGACAGATAAACATAGAAAGATGAACTGATAGTGGAAAATATAGATATAAGTCAGAGACAGATAACATAGATAGATGAACTGATACATGGAAAATATAGATAAATAGTCAGAGACAGACATAGAAAGATGAACTGATACATGGAAATATAGATAAAATAGTCAGACAATATATAGATAATGATAACTGATAAATGGGAAATATAGATAAATAGTCAGAGACAGATATATACATAGAAAGATGAACTAATACATGGAAAATATAGATAAATAGAAGATAAAGAAAACTGATAAATAGATAGATAGATAAATAGAGATAAAGAAACTGATAAATAGATAGATAGATAAATAGAGATAAAGAAACATAAATAGATAGATAGATAGATAAACAAATAGATAGATGGGGTTAAAAAGATAAATAGATAAATAGAGAGATAGACAATGGATAAATAAATAATATATAGATAGATATTGGATAAATGTAGATAATAGATAGTAGATGCGGATCTGTATAAACAGATATATATGGATAGATAAATAGATAACTTGATATAGATGATAACTAAGTAACTAGAAATAGATAATAAATAGATAACTAGAAGATGATGATAAATAGATAACTAGAAATAGATGATGAATAGATTACTAGAAATAGACGACAAATACATAACAAGGTATAGATCATAAATAGATAACAAGGTATAGATGATAAATAAATAACTAGAAATATATGATAAATAAATAACTAGAACTAGACAGTAAATGAATAACTAGAATAGACACAAACAGATAACAAGGTACAGATGACAAACAGATAACTAGACAGACAGACAGACACAGATAGACACATGGCATTCTTTCCCCAGGTGAATGTGAGCCTCGTCTTCAGTACAGCCAGTCCCTTGTCCTACTGGCTACTCCAATACCAGGTTCTCCCCGTCATGGCAGCACTCTTCCCCTTCGTCAGCCTGGAACAAGTGCCCGTCAGCAATGGGCAACAGGTAGGGAGGCTGACAGGTGATTCTTGTGCACTTTTTTTTTTTTTTTTTTTTTTTTTTTTGGGGGGGGGGGTGATGGTGGGGTTGTTGGGGTGGGGGTATTGGTGGTGATGACAAATTACAGATTGGTGTTGATTGACAGGTTGGTGTGTGACTGGATTGGTTGGTGATGACTAATGACAGATTGGTTTGATTGACAGGTTGGTGATGACTGACTGATTGGTGATGACGACAAATGACAGGTTGACAGCCTAGCCATCTAT